ATAATCGTTTCCAGGCGTTCCCAAGTGACTCCAAACGTGGTTTCTCGATGATTTCCGAAGTTTGAAGGCGTTTTGAGTGTTTACGGTTAAGGTTCTTAGAGAGAGAAGGAGAGAGTTTTTAGCCATAAATGTTCTAATGAAGGTGGAGGCATCGTATTTATAGGGGTGTTGTGGGGGGTCCACTCTTCACTGACCGTAAACAGGTTTATGGTCGTAAACGAGTTTACGGCCGTAAACATGTTTACGGTCGTAATCTCATTTAGACCGCAAATGCTTGATTTTTTTGAGATATTCGGGTTTCCGCGCGATTTTTGGTTCCAACTTGTAAATAATTTAATTAAATATAACTAGATTATTTTCTAAACCAAAAAGTTTGACGGAAAAGTTAACAAATTTGAAATTTTATTAACGAAACTCGCGCAACGGAAACGGACAAAGTTTCGGGTTGTCACAACGAACAACAAAAAATATTTCTGCTACAATAAAACCTGCTGCAACAGTGGAGGCGGCTGTGTTCCAAGTCCGTACACCACAAAGTCTTGAGAGTAGTCAACCTGAGAAACGCATCAATCGGGAAAACTTGAAGTGCAAACATTGCAATAAAGTTGGACATACAATGGAAGGGTGCTTTGAAAAAATTGGATATCCTGATTGGTGGGAGAATCGACAAAGGAAACCAACAAATGATCAAAGGAAGGCAAAGCCGAAGCCGAGAGCTGCTGCAGTCGGGATTGAAGTCAGCCCCATACCTGGGCTAAGCGTGGAACAATACAAGAAACTTATGCAGCAATTAACGACAATCCAAAAACTGAAATTAATATGGCTGGTAAGATTGATTTTTGTCAACCGTGGGTTATTGACTCCGGTGCCACAGAACACATAGCATGTAATGATTCTGCCTTGACTAATTTGAAAAGATCATCTGATGGTGTTCCTGTTAACATAGCAAATGGTGACAGTGTTCCTATTGAAGGAATAGGAAGTGCTAGCCTACCAAGTGACTTAAAAGTCAACAATGTCCTTTACATACCAAACTTTAAGTGCAACCTTCTATCAGTTAGTAAAAGAACAACAATTGCTTTGTGACATTTTTTTCGAATTTTTGTTATGCACTTACACTCGAGGAAGCTAATTGGCATGGGGAAGTGTAAGAATGGTCTATACAAAATGGAAGAAGTGGATGCTAGAGTCAAGGCGATGGTGGTTAAGGTTGACACAGAGATTTGGCACAGAAGACTAGGGCATGCTTCAAATTCTAGACTCCAACACATTAGTTTTATAAATAGTTTAGCAAACATTGATCATTGTGATTCTTGTATTCGGGCAAAACAAACCATATTACCTTTCCAAGTTAGTTATATTAAGACTTCTGCTCCTTTTGAACTTATTCATTGTGATATATGAGGAGGTTATCGTGTTCCTTCACTTTCGGGTGCACGATATTTCTTAACAATTGTTGATGATTATAGCCGTTCAACATGGGTATATCTTTTAAAACATAAGTCGGATGCAAGTTTCAATTTAATTGCTTTCCACAAATTGGTTGAGACACAATTTGAGAAAAGAATCAAAAGAATTAGAAGTGACAATGGAGGCGAGTTTGTTTCAAATAACATGCTCAAGTTTTATGAAGAACAAGGCATCATTCTTGAAACATCTTGTGTCCACATCCCTCAACAGGACGGGGTAGTTGAAAGAAAACATAGACACTTATTGGAGATAGCTAGAGCCCTTCGTTTTCAAGCAAGTCTTCCCATTGAGTTTTGGGGAGAATGCGTCTTAACTGCCACCTATATCATAAATCGTTTACCTTCCCGATCAGTCAAGAACAAAACGCCATATGAAATTTTATTTGGAAATAAACCCCAATATGAACACATGAGAGTTTTTGGCTGTTTGGTGTATGTTAAAGAAAATAAATTTGGAAATGATAAGTTTGAAGAAAGGGGGAGACCTTGTGTTTTTATTGGGTACCCATAGGGGCAAAAAGGGTATCGTGTCTTTGTGTTGAGAGTAAGAAAATTCTAATTTCTAGGGATGTCAGATTCATAGAATGTGTCTTTCCTTTCAAGAAAGTTGTAGAAGATAATAACAAGAATCATGTTGAAGAAGAAAATCATGTGAGTTTGGAGTCTTTCGATGATGGTTGTCACGATCAAGAAATAGAAAAGGATCAGGTGGCAACAAATCTTAGGGCATCAGGCCATGTCTCTAATTCCCCAGCTCAAGACAATATCCCAAGTGAGCCTAGCAGTCCGTCAAACAGCTCAAGACCTGAAATTGTTTCAACTAGTCCCGAAACAACTCAACATGCTAAACAAAGTCACCATTCAACTTCCAATTCTACTCAAACCCGACGCTCAGAACGTGTTCGAACTAAACCAGCTCGCCTGCAAGATTTCGAGGTTGACTTACCACCTTCCATAGACCATTCCTACTCCAATGACAATACAGTTTCTTCGACGGTACATCCTTTGTCACATTTTGTTTCTTACAAAAAATTTACTAACTCACATAAAGTCTTTTTGGCTGCCATCTCTTCACAAGATGAGCCCAAGCATTATTTTCAAGCAGTTAAGCACCAGTGTTGGAGAGATGCCATGAAGAAAGAAATCCAAGCTCTTGAGAACAACAACACATGGACCTTGACAAATTTACCTCCCGAAAAGAAGGCAATTGATTCAAAGTGGGTTTATAAAATCAAATACAAGCCATCTGGTGAAATCGAGCGTCACAAAGCAAGACTAATTACGAAAGGGTTCACTCAAGTTGAAGGGATAGATTTTCATGAAACATTCGCACCAGTAGCCAAGATTGTCACTGTGAGAACTGTGTTAGCCGTTGCCGTCCAGAAACGTTGGACTATCCACCAACTTGACGTAAATAATGCGTTTTTGCACGGGGATTTAGACGAAGAAGTGTACATGAAGATACCACAAGGGTTCGCAAAGGAAGGAGATACCAGGGTATGTCGCCTCAGAAAGTCGTTGTATGGCCTGCGTCAAGCTTCGAGGAACTGGTACAACAAGTTTACCAAAGCTCTCCTTCACATTGGATTCCAACATTCAAGGGCTGATCATTCACTTTTCGTTTTTAAGAAAAACGAAATCTATATTTCTGCCCTTATTTATGTGGACGATGTCATACTTTTGGGTAATAATGCTCAACAAATAGAAAAAGTCAAGGCTTTTCTCGATAGTCGTTTTAGTATCAAAGATTTGGGATCGTTAAAGTATTTTCTTGGTATTGAGGTAGCCCGCACACCAGACGGAGTTGTTCTTAGTCAAAGAAAATATACTTTAGATATTCTTTCTGATAGCGGTTTAGAAGGTTGCCGGCCTAGCTCTTTTCCGATGGAGCAAAACATTTGTCTTACCACTGAGGATGAGTCTCTTTTGGCTGATCCAGGTAAGTATAGGCGTCTCATTGGGCGGCTCCTTTATTTACAGGTTACTCGACCTGACATCACATTTACGGTCAACACACTAAGCCAATTTGTTTCTTTTCCTCGACTTACTCATTGGAATGCAGCTTTCTGTGTCTTACGCTATCTAAAGGCAACACCTGGTCAAGGTATTTTCCTTCCAGGTAGTGGTAATTTAACACTGACTGGATATTGCGACTCCGATCGGCTGGGATGTCCCTTCACGCGGCGTTCTAAAACCGGTTACTTTATCACGCTCGGTGATGCTCCCATTTCTTGGAAAACAAAGAAACATTCTGTAGTGTCACACTCTTCAGCTGAAGCTGAATATCGGTCCATGGCTGCTACAGTTAGTGAAATTTTATGGCTTAGATGGTTGCTAACAGATTTGGAAGCTACTCAGAAGGAGGCCACAAAGCTTTATTGTGATAACCAAGCTACTCGTCATATTGCCAATAATCTCGTTTTCCATGAGCGTACTAAACATGTTGAAATGGATTGCTTCTTTGTTCGTGAACACGTAGAATCTGGAGAAATTTTGCCCGCTGCGATACGCACCAAGGATCAACTTGCAGACATGTTCACCAAACCTCTTGACACTGACCGGTTCCGTTTTTTACTTGGCAAGATGGGTGTTCGTAATCTTCACCTTCCATCTTGAGGGGGAGTGAAGAAAATAAACGTGTTAGCTGTCATGTTCTTATCCTCTTATTTAGCTTATCTTTAACAATTCAAATTGATGTATATATGTCTTTGAACGATTGGAATGAATTAGATAATAAAAAAGTGAGGAAGCCTAATTAGTTCCTATTGATTGTTTACTTTCGTTCTCTTTATTTTATTATCGAACGGACGACTGCATGTTCAACAATGTGATTCCGTGTATAGCTTGAACCATCCGCTACATCATGGGTACATAAAGCTTTTATGGCGTCCAATTGTCATGCTAGAGACGACGAAAGGTTTGGTAGAGATCAAGAAGTTAGGTAAACTTATAAGAGTTTGTTTTGGTGTGAAAGGCTTAACAACGACTGAAAAAGCTATAGTGGATATGAATTCCTTATCGATGGTTTGGATATCGAGTTTGATAAGGAGGTTTGAATGACATACATATATAAGTCGAAGGACTAAAAATTTATACGAGTGAAAAAGGAAAATTGAGTTTGCCTTTAGTATAGTTTGGGCGTATGATTTTTAAGAAACTCAACTTTCATTCCATTTTTTTTTTTGCTCTATACTTTATAGTTTATATGCCATCAACATATTGGCCATATTTTTTGTTCCAATCATTCCACAAACATAGTTTCACTCATATTTAGCACAAGAAGAAGATTGAACAGATAAGAAAAACCTATTTTCAGTGATTTTTCTATATTAAGTCGTTTTTCAAAGTTATGTACAAAAAACACATATATAGTTTACCGAATTGAATCTTGTCTCACTTAAGTCGTATCAAATTAAAAATATAAACTTAGAAAATATTATCTCAAGTAAATCTATTAAATTAACCCGTCCCGTTCATATATAAACTTTGACTTGCAATTAAAATATAAACTAAAAAATAAATATACAAACAGTCAAACATCGCCTCATAATTCGAAAAGTTACTCCAAATCTGAAATTTAACAACCCCGAAGACTCCTACTTTGGTGTAAAGCATATACATGTATGAAACTACAAACAAATCTTTTAACATGAAACAAGAAAATATTTCCCTCCTACTTTCACAAAATGCACTAAAACAACACAAAAGAACGATCGCCTGTGCAAAATAAAAATAAAAAAATGCTTATAACCACCGTATTCCTGCAAAAGGGTTATTCTTCCAGCAACCCATGAGCTGGCTCTGGCCCACACTGTAAATATCATTAATAGTTCAACAAGGAATATTTTATCCGTAAAACGATCCTCCCTTTATCTACTCCAAGTTTAGCCCCCGTAACCAACCAATGTCCCGGAACATCTTGTGGGCCCTTTGACATCTCGGTCATATCCACAATTTTAGCCAATTTCCCAGACTGGCTCGAACTGTCTCCCTTATCCTCTCCAAGTCTTTGAAGGTTAGCCGGGCTATGGTCCCACACGGATCGCCTAATGGTGCAGCCGGGTACTTTAGAAAAAAGAAGTTTAAGATGCAAAACACTTCTAGCACCGAAATCCCATACGCCAAATTGGGCCCCGGTGACTATGTGGACCCCAGAAAGATCCCCGATGTAGGTCTCGGTGTGTTCGATGGGTGCGGTGCTTACGTGAGAGAAGTTTTTCCACTTGATGGGCTCGAACCAGCGGCTATCTTGCTCTTCGGGTCCTTGCCATTTGGGTGCACCGATAGCCATGTGTGTGTCCCAATGTGGTTGGAGGATTTTTGGGAGGGAGACTAAGTGTTGTATGTGGATTGCTAATCGGTTTTGTTTGTTTCCTTCTAAACTTAGTCGTAGTCCGGTTACGGGTTTGCGTCCAATGGTTACCTGTAAACATGATTGTGATGAATGAATAAAGGGGAAAAAATCGAGGGCTAAATACATGAAATAATCACTTATTAATCGGGTTGATTTTCCAAGTATGATGTTGTTATAAGAAAAAAAAAAAAAAAAAGAATTATAAGGACAAAATATATGCTATAATACAGAGATAAATGAGAAGATATAATTTTGAAGAATACCTGCTCGAGACTAATGTAAAGCTTTGGTCCCATTAAACTAAACTGAAGTGAGGGACAAACTGGCTCCTTTCTTTGAATGTTACTCTGTTCAGGGGCCCACACACGAGGAATTTGGAACTCTAAAAAGTATTGTAAATCCTCTATAGGTGGCTTGTCTGGAAAAAAATAATATTAAAACATATGAGCAAAAATGGAATGCGTAATTACATTTCATCATCATGTTTGATTGACCTTTTAAGAAATAAAGCAAAAAATTAAACATGATACAAACTCAATAAATCCCCAATAAGATTACAACAAAAGGTTAGTTTTTTTTTTTAAATAAATTGTCATTCCATTCCATCTAACAAAACAAACAACTTTTCTTTATTCCTTTTCTGATTCCACCATAACAAATACTACCTAATTAGTTAGCTTGTTTATTAATATAACTGTAGTGTTTTCACATTTTTATAAATAATATATAAATAAGTAGTAAGTAATAAAAATGAGATAAGGTGGTCTTACATTCCAAGTATAAGTCAATGGCACGTGTCAAATGCTTAATTCCAGGTACTCCATGAAGCAAAGAAACAATGGGAGTAAAAGTCATATTTATAACATCTGGTGCTGTTTCTACAGTCTCTGCCCATTTTGCATGGCTTTGTTCAAGATCATCACCTCCTCTTCTTCTAAAAATTGCCGTTACGTCCTGCAGTTCAATTGTAAATATAAATCAGCCTCATCTCATCTCATGTAATGTCATGTCACCCAAAAGATTTAAAAAAAAAAAACTTGAAACTACTTTGAGCAAAATACAGAAATCACTTGTATTTTCCCCATTTAATCGACCCCACCCATTTTACTATTTTCTGTAATGATTAAACTATTATACTTTTTTTTTCTCCAATACCTGGTTGGTGATATTAAGTTTTATTGATTTAGCCATTGAACTATTATTACAATAAGCATAGAAAAATGAACATTTTAGTGGCTAAATTTACAAAATGGTGAAAACATGTTGTGATTTTCTGTATTTAGCTTTTCTTTCAAAACAGGTTAACAGTAAGTTTAATGGTTTAGTTTAATCACTCTAGAAAAATAATTTAAGTTGCTGAATCGATATTAATATAAAAGTACAAGTACTGTTCTGTATTAGTGTATTTTGCTCAAATATATATATGATAATTATTAGAGTATGTTACTTTTGGGTCCTAGAGAATAGTTGATTTTTGCAATTTTGGTCCCAAAAAATTTTCTTGCCAATTTGGTCCTTATTTGAGGTTCTTGTAACTTTTTTGGTTTCTGTTAAAAGTAATATGACTATTTCCAGTCCCTGAGCATAGCTGATTAAAGTTTTGCAATTCTGTTCCCAAAAATATAGTCATTTTACAAGAAAAGGGACCAAAAATGTTACAAAAACCCAAATAAGGAGCAAAATTGCAAGAGAAAACTTTTTGGGAACAAAATTGAAAATATCTGCTATACTCAGGGACCAAAAATGTTACAAAAACCCAAATAAGGAGCAAAACTGCTAGAGACAACTTTTGGGGAACAAAATTGAAAATATCAGCTATACTCAGGGACCAAAAATGTAAATTTAATGATGGGGTTGAGGAAGAAAGGTAAAGTAACCTTGTCCTTGTACTTTAAGGGACCAGAACTGGATTGGGCTTTTAAATCAAAGAATCTGTGGTCTCCAATGTCTTTCACATAATTATCAATATCTGATAATGACAAAGGAGATGATTGATGTTGCTTTATATAAACTACATCTCTCCCCCCAACCGTTGCAGAGGTCACAATATGTGTGCCATAATTTTCAATAAAGCTGGAAAAATAAACAAGATTTTATGGTTAGATAATCGATAACATTATCTCTTTTAAAAAGATACTATATCACATATATTGTTAGCTAAAAAAGGAAATAGAAAGAGAAAATTAAGGGGAATAGTAACATAGCAATGCACTTTACTTTTTACCCATAAAAGCAACATACTTACATTTCTTTACTGATAATACTAGTAGATATATACTTTATTTTTTAATAGCAACAAAATTATATATTTATTTATTACACATAATAGCAAGGTACTTATATTTCACTATGTACTTTATGTGTTACATATTGCTATTATCAGTAAAGAGATGTAAGTACATTGCTATTATGAGTAAAAATTGTAGGGTTAACCTCATAAAAGACCTTATATTTTATGTTTTTTCCGGAATAAACCTTATCTTTATTTTTTGCCTGAAAAAAGACCTTGTATTTTTTGGTTTTTTCCGAAAAAACCCTCAACTTCGTCTTTTTTTTTCCGAAAAAACCCCTCAACCTTCTAACTGTTTCTGAATAAATCCTCAAATTTTTTAGTTTTTCCCGAAAAATTTAAAAGTTCTCACATTTTAAGACTTTTTTTGGAAAAAAAAGGTTAATCTAAAAAAAACCTTATATTTTGTGTTATTTCTGGATTAAACCTCAAATTTATATTTTGCCTGAAAAAGACCTAGTATTTTTTCATTTTTTCCAATCTAGCCCTTTTAGTCATTTTTTTTCCAAAAAAAAACTTGTAAAATGTGAGGGTTTCTTCTAGAAAAACTAAAAAGGTTGAGGGTTTATTTGGAAGCATTTAGAAGGCTGAGGGTTTTATTTTTTGAAAAAAAAATACAAAGTTGAGGGCTTTTTCGGAAAAAATGAAAAAATACAAGGTCTTTTTTAGGCAAAATATAAATTTGAGGTTTAATCCAGAAATAACACAAAATATAAGGTTTTTTTTTAGATTAACCCAGAAAAAAATGACTAAAAGGGTCAGATCGGAAAAAATGAAAAAATGCAAGGTCTTTTATGAGATTAACCCAAAATTGTAAGTATGTTGTTATAAAAAATGTAAGTACGTTGCTATAATGAGCAAAAAAATGAAATTATAAATTGCTATTATGAGTAACATATATATATATATATATATATATATATATATATATATATAGAGAGAGAGAGAGAGAGAGAGAGAGAGTACAATGGCTACATTGATATAAAGAGTAAAGTAAGTTGCTATTTCTTGCAATATGTGGTAAATAGGAAAAGGAGGAATCTTTTACCTTGCTAAAGATGCAGGATCCCATGAATATGGAACAGCACGTTTGACTTCTTGAAGCAAAACTAAATCAGTAATTTCTAAACGGACTTCAAATAAAGGAACAATGTATCCAATCATAGCAAGGGATTTTGTTGATGCTGCATCAAGTTGCCATGATCCAGTAAAATTGAACATGGCATTAAAGCTTCCAAGAGGAACATCCCCACCAAGATTCGATTTCATATTGAAGTATTTTGCCATCTGCTTTTATCACAACATAATTATTACCATTTAAAGAAACAAGAAACTTCTTTTTTGAAAAAGCATCATTGTTTCTTTTAGTAGCGTATGCAAAAGATATATCATGCGAAAATCACTAAAAAAAAGCAGTGAAGCTAAATCAGAAAAATGGTGAAAGTATTGTTGTATTTATCAAAACCAGGTAAATGGTAAAAATGGTTTTTGAAAAGTAAAAAGAATAATGGTTTAATCATTATAGAAAATAGTGAAGTGGTTAAATCGATAAAATAGGGAAAGTACAATGTGCATTTCTGTATTTTGCCCTAATTTAAATAACCAATAGATTAGAACATACTACACGGAAGTACTATAAATTGTTCAATATGTTGCCCCAATATTAACTGCTAGTATCGCATAGGTTAGCTCATTGATACCATGAGAATATGACTATAAACAAAAGAATAACACGTGAAAAATTCATGAATATATATAATTAGGTACTAAATATTTATATATACAAAGGATCTTGTCATTTTGGGATATGTAGTTGGATATCATTTCTGTTATAAGTAGAAGGTGTGGCATATCAAATCAAGTCCTTAATATAGTAACATATATAGCATTTATATTATCAGAAGAAATGCATATCATGTGGCACAAATAACACGCTAACCAGAAAATGATTCATGGCATATGTCACACCACAACACATGCCATTTTCTTACTTTAAATTTTTAAAGATTTTATTCATTTATTTAGTTGAGAAGCCATTTCGAAGTAGAACACATAACTTATTGTTATAATTTGGAAGATTCTACGAAAAAAGGAAGCTCATTTACTATAAAGTCCACCATCTTTCTCACATCCCCCCAACCCTTGGGTTTTCTTTCAAGTGCATGACGTTGCTTTTTAATCTATAACAACGGTTTCCTTACCTAAACGTGTTCTTATCACACACTATAATAAATGTTACATTGGCACATATGAAGTTTTAAAGTTGTCAGAAATCTAGTTTGTTTCTCTCATAATCACATACGCGTTCAATTTGTGTCAAAAAAACTAATAAAGGTGGGCCCATGACCTAGACTCTGGCTCTAATACCAACTTGTAACACCCTTATCTAGAAGATAGCATTCTTATGGAATTTTGACTTGACCTAAGCACATTTTCAATTTATCCCCTACGTATATTTAACATGTATACACAAACCTAACAATGCATGAAAAGTAACATGCCACGAGATACTATACAAAACTACTAAATATACATGCAATCTATCGACACAAAACACCAAATACAGTTATCTTTATTAGAAAAGGTTATTGCACAAGCTCCTAATGTAGAAAACAATATCAATGTGAACAACTTAGTCTATTCATTTCCATATATGAAGCTCATCAACCCAAAAGAGGGTCAAATTGTAGCAAACCAAAGATCATTGAAGCAACTGATTTAAACAAAATCCGGATCAATGTAGATGTACAGGAATAATGAAAAGTTGTAATTCTTAATCGACTCAAAGGAGGATAAGAATCCAAAAGAGTTCATGAGATGGAGAGCAGGAGTTTTCTAGCAATAGAACTTGTAGCAAAATCACACAATTCACCTGTTTGAGCAGCTAGCATCTCACCTAGTTATTTGAACATATTGAAATAACAAACGTGGATGAAACTATACTACTTAGATTCTAGTTTAGCATTCATAATGGTGATGAAAATTTCTCACTTTTTCAGCCCGGAATCACATAAATTGTTGCTTCATTGTCCTAGATTACAAAAACTCTAACATTTGATGTTCCCAATACCTAATTCTTCTTGTAAATGTCCCAATTTCAAGAACTTCGATATACCCAAATGTTTATAAACAAAACAAAACAAGTTTATTGCTCATGAATTACATCTCGATTGATTAAAACATCTTTAACAATTCAGAAACCATAACATATTTCAATAAACCATAGAAGACCCTGACGATTACTTACTCAGAAGAAGTAAAGGTATCCCAATTTCAAGAATTAATTATTCTACCTCATAGAAGCTGCAAACAGGTGTGGCTTCGGTGGTCCTTTCGCCTTTAGAAAATTCAACATCTACAGGAACATTAGGAATTGCGACAAAACCATCATCTGAGAAAACAAGTTCCTTGGTATTTTGATCATCCAAGTAAATCAAACGTGACCCAGGTGCGCCTTTGCAGTACAAAAGTCTGATGTCGGAGGTGACATCGAAGCCTCTACCAAGTGCTTGGATTGAATTCTTTAGAGTGGTGGTCAAAGCGTCGTTTTTTGATGATGGGTCTTCGTCCATGGAAGAATAATGATCTTTCATTGAAGGAAGAGATGGAGAATTCGATGATGATGATGATGATAATGGATTAGGTGAGGTGAAGAAGGGTCTCTGTAGAGAGATTAGATTTGACGAGCTGTATGCATTGTATAGTAGGTAAGGATGCTTTGTTTTGTTTTGATTTCTAAAAGAACTGGAATCAAAATCAAAATGAAAAGGGATTTCGAAGCAGCGTTGGTTTGAATTTAGTGTGTGGGGTATGGGTTGGACTTTGACTACAATAATAAATGTGTCTTTCAAACGCGTTTTTTGGGGTATTCTATTATCCCTCTCACCAAGCAACCTAACAACTTATCATCATCTCTCTTTCTAAACAAAATCAGTCGATTCAAACAATGATTCTTACAAGTTAGAACCAATATGCCAATCACTTGAATATAGAATTTTATTTTTAAATTGGTTAATTGTTCTAACTTTTATTTCTAAGTTAGTTAAATGCATCAAAAAACAATTTATTTTAAGTTACATATTAAGGAAAACTACAAAAAAACTCTATTTTTTATATCCAAAATATTAGAAAAAAATACTATGTCTAGCTTTCTCTCTCTTCCAAAAACATATCTTATGTACTTTCTCAGAAGTTTTTCTCAATAATCTTTCCATTTCTTTTACTTATTTTGTATGGTTACATCCGAAAGGAAGGAAGCGGTTGTCATTTCTGTTTCTCTATTACCAAAGATTTGATAACACATGAGTTAACTTTGTAAAGGATAAGATTATACATGAGTTATCTCTTTTTTTTTAAAGGGATACGATTATATATGTTAGAGGCTGTTTGGCAGGATCTGAATTTTTAAGATCTGAATTTTTAAGAGGTCTGCATTTCTAAGAGGGTCTGAAATTTTAAGAGCTGAATGTTTAACATGTTGTTTGGTTGGGACCTCTGAATTGTTGTACTGAATTATTAAAATGACAATTTTACCATTCTGTTTTATTTTTTATTGAATTCAACTGTTTATTTAGAAAATAACCTAATAAATTTCTTAAATATGTATTAAAAAAATATAAAAACCATATAAAATCCAAATTTAGCATAAATCAAAATTAAACACAAATCCAAATCAAACTTAAATATTTTTAAATCCACAAAATCATACTAAAATCCAAATAAAATCCTACAAATTTAATTTCACCCCAATTGATTCGCAATCTGGTCACGCAAATTATCCATGTATTCATTTCCTTGTGAACCCCATTCCATATCGTGTACGCTTTCGCCATCATTCTTTCCCCCTTGTGCTTGAGCATTGTTCTCCTCGAACGCCATAAATAACTCATCATGAATATCGCATTTCCTTATGAAATTGTGGACTGCAAAACAAGCAACGACTATATCTCTTTGCACTGAAAAAGGAAAAGGAGCCATTCGCTTTAGGATTGAGAATCTCGCCTTCAAAACACCGTAAGCACGTTCAATAACATTTATGAGTTGCGCATGTGCATGATTGAATTTTTCCTCCTTAGTTAATGCACGTCGCCGTCGATAATCGGCTAACCAATACCTCGTGTTGCGGTAAGGAGTCATAAATCCACGAGTGTTGGTGTATGCAGCATCGCAAAGGTAATATTTATCTATACACATGAGTGAATGAAGTATTATATATAGAAGTTTAAAATCAAATTTTAGAATATTTTTAAAAAGAATTAAAAACCTGGAGGAGGAAACGGAAAGCCTGAAGTCGGGTTACATGCAACTTCTTTCAAAACTCGCGAATCATGTGTTATACCCTCCCAACCGGCCCATACGAATGTGAATATCATATCAAAATCACAAATTCCTAAAACATTTTGAAAGCATTCACCTTTTCCTCTTCCCCTATAGCGAGTTTGTTGATCAGCAGGCACGACTGCATGTACAAGAGTTCCATCTAACGCACCTATTGCTCCAGGAAAGATTTCTTTTAGCTTACGATGCCTCTCTGAGGAATTCACGGTTGCATTAGAATTCGTTGGCACTATAACTTCTTTTGCAAAAATCATCATTGCATTTAGCACCTCATGAAAGCATCTATGAACTGTTTCTGTGGAGTGTTGAAACCTTCGTTTGATAATCCTGAACCGTTTATTATGTGCTATAGTTGTCAAGAACATAGCCATCTTTTCTTCAACGCTTATATGCCTACTACTTTGCAACCAATTGTTTCGTCTAAAATGATTGCATAAAAGTACATATGCTTCACGTGAAAGACGCATCAGTTCATGACATTGTGTAGAAGTTCCATGTAACAATTCTTGTGTATGTTGATGACCGCTCATTTCCGAATCATTATCAATTGCCCTTCCAATTCTGTTGGATGCTAGATTCAGCCAATAGTAACATAGTAACATGAAAAATGCAATTTCTTCATCCGAATCCATAAGCAATCTGTTATTTTGAAAATACATAACAATTATATTAACAACATACAACATAAAAATTCATCCAAAACATCAAGTCATTCATATCATATAAAAATCTAGTAATCCAAAACATCAAGTCATTCATGTTAAGTAATCCAAAAAAAACCATCTAGTGCAAACCAAACATCTAGTTATCCAAAAAAACCATCAAAACATTCAAAAAAATCTACTTAGCGAAACATTCCATAATGTGCTCCAACAGTCTTGACCCAATTCTCACAAATAGCTGGATCAATGGTTAACCACACGTGCCTCTTATCCGCACCTTCACCAAAAAGAGCAACATCAGTAGTGTATCTTGGATCAAATATTCCCCATCCTAACTTCTCCAATTTTTCCATACACGCATCCAAATTTGAAGAAGAATGCTTTTCCACAAATATTTTAGCAACTGTGGCAATATCTTCCCCGATTTCAAGCAATCTTGAATTGGATGCATCTTTACCCTTATCTTTACCTTTATCTTTACTTTTATTTTGACTCTTTGTCGTATCTGTAGTCTTTTTTTTTGATTGAGCGGATGACTCGTCACTGAGACCTACAGTTTCTTGTTGAGTGCAATCAATGTCATCAAAGTCATGCAAACTATACTGGCTTGACTCTTGAGTAGGACGGGGAAGGGTAGAAGTAAGAATTCAGCAACAAAATTTCAGCATAATACTCATGAAAACATTAGACATAACATCAAAATAACACCAAAATTCAGCATATAACATCAAAACTCAGCATATAACATCAAAATTATGCATATAACATCTAAATTCAGCATCAACATTGAATCAAACATAACATCAAAATTCAGCATCATATTTGATCATATCCATTGAACACATTCAGATTGAAACATATAACATCACTACCCAACATATAACAACAAAATGAATCATATAACATCATAATGGAGTAAAACATCAACTATTAATTTTGATTTAACAAATCAGAAAATGATAGCATAATGAATTCGATTTTTGACTTTCAATTTTGAAGGGAAAGAAGGAACAGTCGCAGGCGCAAGGAAGAAAGGAAGAAACAGAAGGAAAAAACCAAACCTGCTGCAGTTGGCGGAAGAAAAATCGGAGCTGGCGGCGGCGTTGCTGGCGGCGTCGGTGAGCGGCGGCGCTGGCTTCGTCGGTGGGAGCAGTCGCAGGCGTCGGACCTGGAGGGGAGAAACGCGATGGCAGCAGACGCTGTGGGAAGGAAAGAAAGAGGCGGTCGATTTAGGGCAAATAGAAGGAACGCGTGTTTCTTTTATTTTTCAGACTTGGTTTAACATCTGAAAAAGTAAGAGGTATTTTTAAGTTTAAGAGGTAAAATATAATATGTAAACAAACGCTCTGAATCTGAAATTTTAAGACATTGCCTCTTAATTTTACAATTAAGAGGTAAACAAACGACCCCTTACAGTTATCACCTATTTTCTAATGAATATTATATTTATCTTTTATCTTTCAATCCTTACTATTTTTAACACAAATAATACTTTTAGATTTTAAATATTTAACTTATTAAATAAAAATAATAAATATATAATTTATAAAAATAAAAATTACAAATAATAGTCACCAACTTAATCTATTTGTTTCAGATTTTTTTATAAGTCATCAACCTGATCTTCGGGAGACATTCTTTTGTTTAAAATATAGTTTTTTATTTTTATTTTTATTTATTTTTATCATGAATAAAAATAACATTCATACACAACTTATCATTAACATTTTGGAGCCATCTGTTTCCTTAACAGATACATATGCTATTGATTTATGTAAAATTTAGGTGTATGTAGGTGTGTTGCTTACCATCAATATAATATAATAAAATGATATCTATAGATCATATATGAACTTATGGTCCTTTAGTTTTTCTGTCTGTCCCTAAAATAGCGCTATGCGCTCTTTCAAGAATATTCACCTTCATTTCAGCCGCCATGTTATTTGACAGTTTCGCTTCTCCTTCCAGTGCCGATGCACATCCTTGTTGAACCAGAAGAGCCTTCATCTTCACATTCCACAAAGTGAAATCATTCGAACCATTGAACTTTTCCAAATCGAACTTGTGAGATGACATCTTCAATCAACAGAAAAGCAGCCACAACTCTAATACCACTTGTTAGGGAAAACAAATGATACTTGTCAAGAATCAAAACAAATCTGATGCCACTGGGCAAGTTATGATGACCATTGTTAGGAAGTAATGCGGATAACAAGCAAAACTATAAGCACACAAAGACATAACATTTACATGGTCGGTCAAGGTGACTTACGTCTACGGGCAGGAGGGGAGTATTCTTTATTTCAGAGTTCTCAAACAGAGGTTACAAGTACAATTCACCAGAGATTCGTCCTACTCACGAAGGATACAAGATACAATACACAAGAACCTTTAAATGAATATGCATGAATCCCTATTTATACATGAGGGATCAGACCTAAAACCTTAATGGGCCAAACCCATTGGCCCATAATCCCCTTGAAAAGTGACAATAAATCATATTCCACCATACAACATCTTCTAGAACATTCTTCCATGTCATACAACCCATGAGCATCAACAACACACATGATGGAGCACCATGTGCCATAGTGGAGCATCATGATGTACAAGTGGCGCATCATGAACACTAATGGCCCAACATCCATCATGGTGGCACAACATGGTGTAATCCTTGAGCAATACCAACTTTTGAGCATCCTTGAACGATCATGAGCATCATAGAGGACTTCATAGCATACTTGGATCATCAAGGATACCATGGATCATCAAGGATCCGACATGGCCCATCT